GAATCATCAGCTTCACGTTACAATTGCAGACCTTGTTGCGCGAGTTGAGGCCCTTGAGCAACCATAATTATCACAGTCTATATCATTTGTCGTCAGTTTTTCCGACTGGCGTTTGATTTCGATCTAAAACCCAAAACATGTCACTCCGCAGAATTGGTCGTCCAACCTCGTCGTTAACACCGAAATCGGTTGGTCCCTGGCCGGTGATGAACGGCGCGCTTTTGCGTGCAGATGTGCTACCAACCTCCTTTGACTACGAGGGTTTTTTTGAGCAGAAAATCAGCCAGAAAAGAACAGACAACTCTTAGCAACTCGGCGTGCTCGGTCCCCCCAGACACGCGAGCAATTCGTTGCCACGATCCATGTAGTTTGTAACGTTTTCATTTATTTAAGTGTTTCTACATTTAACTCTAATCGTCCAGTTTGAGGCGTTTACGCATTGGTGCTGACATACCAAGCTTCATAATTTGCACGTTGGCCAGATCAAGTTTGGTTCTGATCTCTCTCAATTCTTCAGCGTGCTTGTATTGATCGTCGTCACGACGTTCAGAGATCAAGTTCAAGCGATGTGACAAACGCGCGTTCTCCTCCTTCAAGATGACCTTCTCGTCTTTTATCACGACATTCTCTGCTTCCAGAGTTTTCATAATATCCGATGTGTGCTCGAGGTTCAGCTTTAGAGTCTCGATGGTATGAGACAAACTGTGTTTCACATTCACGCTCCCAACTTCCTTAGCAATGTCGGTAAAGTGCCCCACTATACTCTGAAGCTTTTCGCGCGGAAGGGAAAACACTTCCGTCTGTCCCTCGTACATGAATGGCTTCGCGTCGTGGAGCTCGTGGAAAAAGTCCTTGACTGCCTTCTCGGCCTTGTAAGCCAGTTCAGCGGGCATGTATATAACAGCCAGACGTTCCGCACCGGGGAACTTACCTTCATGTGCTGTCAGTCGACGCATGATACTTGTTTTGGACATACCGAGCTTGACCACGACGTGGTTGTCGTCTGCTTCAGTGGGTACTACCACTGGCGCTGACACTTACCATTGACCCTACCGTACGACAGCAAGCTCACCTTTGCTTGCGTTCTGCGACATCACTGAGTCGTAGTGTATGTACAGTGTGCTTGGTACTACCGTTCGAGTCTGTAATAGCGGTACGATTTAGGTCTTATCGAACGGTATCACTAGTCTATGCGGATGCGTGCAAACGTACCCAAAACTGTCGGTGAAGACGGTACCAAACCGGACCCCGGTACGTTTGATTTCGATCTAAAACCCTAAATAAACAAATAAATAAAACATGTCACTCCGCAGAATTGGTCGTGCAACCTCGTCGTTAACACCACCCTGGCTTTTGTGTGCAGATGTGCTACCAACCTCCTTTGACTACGAGGGTTTTTTTGAGCAGAAAATCAGCCAGAAAAGAACAGACAACTCGTACCGTGTGTTCAACGACATTAACCGTCTAGCCGAGCGCTTTCCAAAGGCTCGCACGCCGACATTACCGTTTGGTGTGCCAACGATTATCTAGGCATGTCGAGACATCCACTGGTTATCGATTCGATGCGGCGTGTCTTGTCGCGCCATGGGGCCGGGTCCGGTGGTACACGCAATATCAGCGACAACACCCGCTTTCACCGCGAACTTGAAGCGGAGCTTACGGACTTGCACCGCAAGGATGCGGCACTGGTGTTTACCTTGTGCTACGTGGCCAACGATACTACACTGCAGACGCTGGCCAAGCTTTTGCCTAACTGCATCATTCTGAGCGACAAACAAAATCACGCCAGCCTCATTGCTGGGATTCAGAATAGCCGCGCAGACAAGGTTGTTTTCAACCACAACGACACGATTGATTTGGAACAGAAACTGGCAGCGCTGGACCCTTTGCGACCAAAGATTGTGGTGTTTGAGTCAGTGTATTCAATGTCTGGAGTCATTGCACCAGTTGACGAAATCTGCACGATAGCTCGAAAATACGGCGCACTAACGTTCATTGACGAGGTTCATGCCGTTGGCATGTATGGCCATAGAGGCGCCGGTGTAGGTGAGCAATTGGGCAATCACGTGATGGACAAATTTGATATTGTCGCCGGTACGCTAGGCAAAGCGTATGGTGTCATAGGAGGGTATATCGCTGGATCCACACGACTCGTGGATACGGTGCGCAGCTTCGGATCCGGATTTATTTTTACAACATTGCTCCCCCCAGCCGTTGCATCTGGTGCGCGTGTGAGTGTCAAGCACCTCAAAACGAGTCAGGTGGAGCGCACTAGTCAGAGACGGCACGTGCGTGAGCTTAAGACACGGCTACACGAGTTGGGGATCCCGATAGCGGAAAACACGGGCCACATTGTCCCCATCTTGGTCGGCGACGCCAAGACTTGCCGTGCCATTTCCGACACGTTGCTGCAGAAACACAACATATATGTGCAGAGCATCAACTATCCCACCGTACCTGTGGGACAGGAGCGGCTGCGCGTTACCCCAACACCGGCACACACCCCAGATATGCTGGACACGTTCTCAGACGCTCTTCTTGATGTGTGGAACCGGTGTAGGCCCTTCCCAGCAGGGGGTTAGGCGCAAGAATCAACCTAAAAACCCCAGAGAAGGGATAGGTGCCTATACTTGTGGGATGTATACCTTAAAGGGATAGGTGCCTATACTTGTGGGACGTATACCTTAAAGGAATAGGTGCCTATACTTGTGGGATGTATACCTTAAAGGGATAGGTGCCTATCGATGAATGGACCTATACCTTAAAGGGGGCTTGGTACTACCGTTCGAGTCTGTAATAGCGGTACGAATTAGGTCTTAATTCGTCTCTTCCAGTAAGACTCGAACGGTAGTACCGTTCGAGTCTGTACTAGCGGACGAATTAGGACCTAATTCGTCTCTTCCAGTAAGACTCGAACGGTATCACTAGTCTGTTGGTTTAAAGAGGATGTGCAAAATGTGTAACGGGGTGTCCGACTAGCGTTTGATTTCGATCGTGAACGCAAAGACAATTAAAACATTATAAACAAAAATATATGGTCGGCGACGCCAAGACTTGCCGTGCCATTTCCGACACGTTGCTGCAGAAACACAACATATACGTGCAGAGCATCAACTATCCCACGGTACCTGTGGGACAGGAGCGGCTGCGCGTTACCCCAACACCGGCACACACCCCAGATATGCTGGACACGTTCTCAGACGCTCTTCTTGATGTGTGGAACCGGTGCGGTAAGGTGAGCTCAATGAGAACAGAAATCTCATGTAGAACAAAAGGGTAAAAGTGTGTAGGGGCGAAAAGACTAGCATATTGTTCATGTACATTTTGATTGGTCAGCCAAGTAATGTGGCTAGGGGCACGCGTAAGTAAACATAAAGCAAATCGTTAGAGCCCACATTGTCTCGTGCGTGGTGCCCGAGCAAGCCACAGTGTTTCAAATCGCCAGGTTATCGTGCTTCTGACGACAAAATTGCAAAAACCACCGAATAATTGCAAAACTCGTCGCCTTGTGTCCGGTTCAAGCGCACACAAAATTGCAAAAACCACCGAATAAAATAATTACAAATCTCGTCGCCTGGTGTCCGGTTCAAGCGCACACAAAATTGCAAAAACCACCGAATAATTGCAAAACTCGTCGCCTGGTGTCCGGTTCAAGCGCACACAAACTAAAAAAAAAAGTCAACACTGTTTTTTGGCTTGAAAAAAAAAGGCATTTTACGATTTGGCATGAAATAAAGGCATTTTTCGATTTGGCATGAAAAAAAGGCGATTTGACATTTGGCATAAAAAAATGGTAAATATGGCACCAAATAAAGAGTATTTGGGTTTTGTACCGACGTAATGGAGGCACCTATACTCGTATCAGGCATGACCCATAGG